TTAATGAGTTTGAAAAGAAGCAAGTTATGGAGTACGTCTAAGAAGTTCATTAGCAAGTGAAGTCTTACCAAATTATGATATGCAATAATGGCTTGGTTCTAACTTGATATTTGTGGAGAACAGAATCAAAGCCGAGACAAATTGTTTATTTATTAATAGATTTGTACTTTGCAGGTTTGCTGTTTTATGTGTCAAACAATTAAAGGAGTATTTATCACTCCGTATATTATAATCAAGACCATAATGTGCCTAAACAAGTAAATATCATTCTTCACCCAAATGGTTGCACCATATAACAAGAAATAAATGTATAGTGGTCGTATGATTTCTACTTGATGAGTTAGATATAGATAGGCAAATAGTTACATAGACTATTCACTTTGAGCTATTTCGGTTTACTTCATGGTCATGTTTTTAAGACCATCTTATGTTGCTTTAAATATTAGGATTGAAAATTTGAAAAATATGGATGGCGATTGGATAGCAGATGGAGTAAATACCGTATTGGGTCAAGCTGAATGAACATACATCTTTCTCGAAAAAAAAGATGAACTTATATTCAACTTATTGCGTGATCTGCCGCTTTGTGTTAGTGTATTATACAAATTTAAATTGCACAAAGATTGTAAGCTCTAATGCTTCTAAGTTCTAACGTGTTAATATTTTATATCCAAAGGTTCGTTAAGAGTATTTATGTTAAGAATTTTTTGATTACATCATATTTTGGGATTAAGACTGGGATGTTGTTGTTGTATCATATTTTATTAAACCTCATGCAATTGCAAATGTAGTTAATGCTTTAATTTTTAATTGTTGTAGCTTTCTAAGAACATGCTCCATTTCAAATTGAAAATTGTGAATGCCACTTGATTAATTATCTCACTTAGTATTAAAATTATTGGATTAGATATTATTAATTGTTTTTTCATTTAAGTTGTTAAAAATTGAAAATATAATTATATTTATGTATTTTTATCCAAGACAAATAATAAAGCAAGATTCCCTTTATATATTTTACAATTTTGTTTGAAAATGAGTTAACTGGAAAGTTTTTATTTTGCGATATTGCTTTTATTTAGACAAAATTGATTGTAAAATATTTAAATGTCATTACTTTATTTCTATTAGCAGGTAGAAAATTGTAATTAAAGTTATCAATTTTTTGTTTATTAATGTTGATATTCTCTTTTACAAAACTTTATTACTTTGTACTACCTCCGTCCCGGTGGACATTTCCAAATACAAAGTAGGAGAGAAATAAGAATAGTAAAAACTGTGTGGTTGAGATTTGTGCAGAGGAGAGAGAAATGTGCAGAACCACAAATTAGTTGCTTTAATAGGAAAGTGGAAAAGTTTTTTAGGACAACCAAAAAAGGAAAGTTGGCAAAGTCCAATGAGACGGAAGGAGTATTTTTTTTCTTTTATCACCCAATCTACTTGATTAACTTGATCATGATGATAGATGTGTTGGGTGTGATGTAATGCCAACCTGGTGATGGATGTATGAGTTGAATATAAAATGTTGTCGGGTGATTGCGAGTAAACTTTCACCCGATAAATTCAACCCGGTGATAGACCTATTAACATTCACATCTTGCAACAATAGGCACACATATCAACCACTCATGTGGTACTTGAGAACAACAGTTATTACATACTCCCTCCGTCCCTGAAAATACTTCCAACTTTCCCTTTTCGTCCGTCCCAAAAAGAACTTCCCTTTCCTTTTTTGGCAAAGAATTTGTGGTTCACAGCATTTCTCTCTCATCTGCACAACTCTCCACCACACAATTCCCACTTTCTTAATCCGCGTGGCACTTTATTTTGGAAGTAAATTATGGGACGAAGGTAGTACATTATTTCCATATTTTAGAAAATTACACAAGTTAATTGGTTTACACCATAAGTTTTTCTTACAATAAAAAACCAGTTAAGTAAGGAGTATATAGTATATGTTAGACAATTAATCGAGTGAAGACTGTAATAGTATACGTTGTTACACATAGTAGTTTTGATTACTTGTAAGTATCATTTGTAAAAGTCCTCTCTTAACATATTCTTTAATTTCTAATTACAACATTAATTTGTATGTAGTTATTGTACTCCTGTGTAACGCAAGTAACTAGTAGGCGTTAATTATCTATCTTTGATTAATTTGTATGTAGTTACTTTACTCCTGTGCAACACAAGTAACTAGTAGGCGTTAATTATCTATCTGAATAATACTTCCTCCGGTCCTAAATAAACTTCATAGTTTGACTTTACGGTTTTTAAGAAAGTTGAATTTTTACTTTTTACTTTCCCATCATGCCTCTACAAAAAGGTGATAAAGTGTAGTGGGAGAGAGAAAGTGGGTGTAAAGTAGGTAATAAAGTAAGGGTATAGGGGTAACTTTATGTTAAAAACTTGCCAAAAATAGAAGTGTGAAGTTTATTTTTGGACCTACCTAAAAAAGAAAGTGTAAAGTTTATTTAGGACCGGAGGGAGTACTAATTTACAAATGTCACTTTTCAATATATCAAAATACGTAGGGTGAAGATGCAAGTAACCCCTAAGTAATCATATTGTTTCTCTCTCTAGGGTTTTGCTAGAGTAGCCTTTTCTTTTCCGTTTTCATCGTTGGACGAGGAACGGCGCTTCGGCGGCTCCCTGGGCTTGCACGCTTAGGTAGACTTCGGTGTAGACAAAGGCTTGGTGTTGCAGGTGACTCCGGGCTGTGATTCTTGGCAAATAGTTTCGTGAATCGGCAAAGAGAAGTTCGGCCGAAGAAGTTTTGCATGGAGGATATAGTGGCTTCATATAGGAAGATGTCGATGAAGGAGCAGGATTCGGAGCTTAATTTTGATGAGGAGCCAGAGGATGGCAGCGAGGAGGAGAAGGAACCGGCGACTTTTCTAGTGGTTGGGGTTGTTATCACGGACCGCAAGGTCAAATTACATGGATTTAAAGAGCTGATGACCTCTATCTGGAAGCCAGGGAAATGTATGTCTATCAAAGAGATCGACGAAAGAAGGTATTTGCTAAACTTTAATCATGTTTTGGATATGAACCGTGTGATAGAGGATGGTCCTTGGTTTTTTGAGCGAGATTTAATTTTGTTAAAGGCTTTGCAGCCAAATGATATACCGGAATCCATGAACTTGTTTGAGGCTAGCTTTTGGGTACAAGTTCATAATGCTCCTATTAAGTATAGGAATGAGTAATTATTAAAATAGGACTAAAAGTCATTCACTTTTCACAAATAGGACAAAAAAATAAACTATGTTTGCATAGGACTAATTATGTGTACCTTGGACAATTATACCCTTATAGCTATTAAAATGTTTTAATTCCTAATAAAATAATAAAAAATAATAAAAATTCGTAAAAAATACTAAAAAATTAAGAAAAACATTTCGATATTAAAAATTTATTTATTTTTTCAAAAAATTAAAAAAATTAAAAAAAAAATTAAAAAAAATAAAAACTCAAAAAAAAATCGCCGCCGCCTCTGCCGCCTCAGCAGCACCACCTCCAATCACCAGGGGAAAAAATGCCAAGTTCATTACGAATGCCATATTTATGGCAGAAAAAAATGAAAATGTTGGCATTCGAAAAGAGAAATATGCCACTTTTTTGGCATTTTCAGAAAAAAATGGCATTTTTCTGGGAAAATGGCATTTTTTTCATCGGCCAGAGGTGGTGGTGCTGGGAGGTAGTACAGGCGGTGGGAAAGGCATCCATATTTTTTTAAATTTTTTTTACGGAGTTTTACTATTTTTTATTAATTTTTTTAAAAATAAAATTATTTAAAAAAAAAGTTTTTGAATTTTTTATTTTATAAAAATTTTATAAAATTTTTAATAATATTTCTACGAATTTTTGAATTTTTTTCGAATTTATTATGAATTAAACATTTAATTATGGCTTTTGACTATTTTTAATTCATATTTAATGGAAGGGTAAGAATGGAATGCAAAAATAGGTATGTTTCCAATAGGACTTATATGGTCCTATTTTGGAATAAAAACATAGCAAGTCCTATTTTAGGTTTTTGTCATAGTTTTAGTCCTATTTGAACTAATTTCTATATAGGAATTTAAGATCTGCCACGAAATTGGTAACTTTTTAGGCTCTTTTATTAAATTTGAGATGTGCCACTTTGATGGAAAGCAAAGTTCTTATCTGCGAATACGAGTGTGTTTGGATGTCCGTCAACCTTTGAAAAAAGGTACCAATTTAACACAGGATGGGGTGAAACATTGGGTAGATTTTAAATATGAAAAACTACCCGGTTTTTGCTTTATTTGTGGTATTATTGGGCATTCTGACAAGTTATGTCCATTGAAATATGAAGAGGACTGTGTAGCTGAAAAAATATATGGGGTGGAACTTAGAGCTGGAGGAAGGGTGAAGACTAGCCCGACAGGATTTAATAAATGGTTATCTGACGGAGCCTCTAGCTCTGGTGGATTTGGAGGTCCGAGGAAGACTGATCTCGGGGTAGAGAATACGGCTGAGTCCAAGACTAAAATGGGAGTGACTCCTGGAGATCCTAAGCGTAGAAGGATATTGGATGACCAGACTAAAGAGGTTGCAGATTGCGAAGGAATGACTCTGGATGGGCCAAAAAATGGGGAGGGGGTGGGTCGGGTCTCCTAGACTCGCCTTATCTCTGTTGGGCGGTGGTGGGGAGGAAAATTACAATGGAGTTTTTATTATTGTCTGCTTTGGTTACTTTAACTTAGGTTGCTTTATTATGTTTTACTTTTGTTATTTCATGCCTTGTAAGACTCTTGCATTAAGGTTGGGGGAGGGAAAGTATGTGGTTAGCTCTCTGTGTCGGCCATGAGCGGATGATTATTTGTGACTCTTTTCTAGTTTTGTACCCTTGCTGAATTCTATTTTTATGAATTAAGTCTTCTTCGAGCAAAAAAAATATATCAAAATACGTACGATCAAAAAAATCAAAATACGTAGTACGTAGTACCAGGTATTAATTCTACCCAACGAAATCCCTTATTTTAGCTCCTTTCAAAAAAAAACTTTTTTTAGCTGGAGCTTACTCTACCGTCTGCGCGAACCGAGATAATGCTGTAGACTGTAGTCAGTGGCGCCTGTACTTTTGAAATTCAAACTAAAGGAATACCAAAAGCATCCGAATCCCATTCTTTCAAGAAACCGAAATGTGTATTTGGATTTTGATTTTCTCAGGGATTGTAAGAGCCGCCCTGTTCTTCAAGACATCTCTTGCTCTTACTCCAGATGGTATGCTTGCTTTACTTTTACCTTACCTTCTTTGTTTCCGTGTTCATTTTTATTTCGGTGTATAAAGATATGGTTTTTGCGTATTTTTGGGTGTGACCGTTAGCCGATAAGTCACGCTTTTCAGTGAAGAAAAAGCTGAAAGCTTTATGGGGTTTCGTTTTTTTTTACGTTCTTACGAAGGTGTTGCACTGTTGGAGCTCAAAGCTACTTTGAACGACACCAGAAATGCTCTAAGTGACTGGAGAGATTCTGATTCAACTCCTTGTACATGGACTGGCATTTCTTGCCACCTAAATGAACAAAGAGTCCGCTCTATGTACCTCTCTTTGTCTCTCTCTCTTCCCCTCTCCCTCTCTGTCCTTATTGGTATTAACTAGTTGTGGTTTTCTTAATTGAAATTGCAGCAACTTACCTTATGAGCAACTTAGTGGGTTCATATCCCCCAGCATTGGTAAACTTTCCAGATTAAGAAGACTGTAAGTTCATTAATGTTAACATTTAGGAATTTACTATTAAAACTTAAACCTCATCAGGGGGGTGAAATATATTCAAAGATGCAATTTTTTGGCGGTGAAGTGTTTAATTTGGCCTATTTAAAACCAGGGCGCTCCACCAGAACAGCTTACATGGCGTAATTCCAATCGAGATTGGTCATTGCACTGAACTAAGAGCAGTGTAATTGCAAAAACCCCTATTTTCACTTCATGAGGGGTAATGTGAGATTACAACGGAAAAGTTTTGACAGTGGTTAGAATAAATTTTTGTGTGTAGGTACCTTAGGTCTAACTATCTTCAAGGAGGCATACCTTCAGATATTGGGAACCTATCAATGCTGAACATACTGTAGGATATATTTCTACTGTTAGTCATCCATGCAAACTATGTTGATGATTCCCTCATCATGGTTTGATTTAATGTATTATATATATATAGGGATTTATCGAGCAATGCTCTCAGGGGTGCTATACCTTCTTCAATTGGAAAACTGAAACTTCTTCATCATTTGTAAGAAAGATAATTTACCATATGCTTTTGATTTTTATTCTTTATTCATAGTGTTCTGTGAAGAAAATCTGCACCTCTGTAGTAATATCTTTTCTGAAAAAAACTTCAGCAATTTGTCTTCAAATTTCTTCTCGGGCGAGATCCCAGATATTGGAATTCTTAGCACTTTCGGAAGCAAATCGTAAGTCCTCTTATGTCTTCATGGCATACCTTTCTTCCTTTGATATTTTATAAAACCTAAAGTAATAGCACAGCTTTCATTCTAGATCTTATACAATACACTGATATACTAACTATTAAGTATTAACTAATAAATTAAAGACGCAATTTTGGAACTTGAGAACAGTTTTCTCTCTCTCAAGAGCTTACCTTTTATCATGAGTTTTTTTCTTTTTCTTTACAAAGTCATGAAACCCTAAGGTTTTAGTGATTTCTGAAACAAGAGTTATACTGGTTGGGTAGTTTCCTTCTGGGGGCAGGGGGGCTCTTGAGGATTTCTTTTTGGAGACTCTTTCTTCTTTCCTTTATATCTTTTCATGTTTCTATAATAAACGGATAAACCTACTAGTATATGTCCTTGAAATATACCTGTGCTTCTGCACCTCCTATGAGAGATTCCCCAGTCTAGTACTCTTGTATATGTAGGAGTGCCCTTGATGGATGATAAATCTTTTACGAAACCTCAGTGATTATGCTTTTGAATTTAGCTTTCCTCATCATGAATCATGCACAAATCTTCCACTTGTTATAATCCTCCTTTAGTACAGGGGTAAGGCTACGTACATCTGACCCCCCCTTCCCCAACGTAGGTGGAAGCCTTTGCGGTACTGGGGTAATGATGATGAATGAATGAATGAATCTTATAATCCTGCCAAGCTACATGCAAAATGTTGACCTCACCAATTGCGATTACATAACTCAGTAGTGGTTAGGTTAACTTCCTTCACTGCAGAGGTGACCTAACCAAAACATGGGGCATAACTTTGAGACCTATAACTCGTGTGGTAAGACTCAATTTGTTGAGATTGTGACTAGTATGGTTGAATTATCTAAAATTATACTGAAATTTAATTTTCTTAATAATAAAGAAAGAATATCGAGGGCTGAGGGTAGTAATGTCATTTCCATCCATTTTGGTCATTTTAAGCAAAAAAACCCTTTTCTGTATTTTTTTAATCACCAATTGACTTATCAGATTGAATCGTTGTTTCATTAAGAAGTGCCTAGAAATAAAGTGAAAAATAATAAAACAATGCCTGGTAACAATGCTGTTTTTAACTTGAAAATGACATGCAGTGCATTTAAGCAGATTGAATAAGCTTGATTTTTTAAAACAATCAGGTGAAAAGGAAAAAATAGTGTGAAACCAGATTTTCTAAGCAGCAATATTCACATTTATGTTCTAAGTTCATAAGGAATTCCACAAGCAGTTGTTTCAATATACTTTGTGTAATATCTTAGACGGTTGTCCTAATAAGGTATATGGTACTTAGGTTCATTGGGAACGTAGATCTGTGTGGCCAACAAGTGAACAAGGCATGCAAAACCTCAATGGGATTCCCTGCAGTTTTGCCTCATGCAGAAAGTGATGAAGCATCAGGTAATAATCTAGTGCAAAATTGCAATCTTTGTGTTTGTTAAACCTTTGTTAAGACTTGATGTTCCATCCTAGAAAAGTTCACAACCCCCAAATAGCTCCACACCTAGTTTGGAAACACGTATTTTTTTACAAGGACACATACTCTCACGGCTAGACACTTTGTCAATTCGTCTGAACCGTATAGTCTTTCATTGGAGACCACAGAATGACTATGGATCAGGTTAACTTTGATATCATATGAAGATTTGTGTTTCCATCCGAAAATGTCAACCTTAATAGGAAAGAGTAAACCAAAGTATATACTGGTTTGTTATTTTGTATTTAGCCAATTTGAGATGAGTTTTTCAACTGTACCTAACCCTAGTCTTTGATTTAAGGCGTATTAATACCTTCTGAATTGGATTGATTTATGCAGTTTCAGTTAAGAAACCATCTCATTATATGAGAGCAGTGGTAATCGGTGCAATGTCTACTTTAGGCCTTGTACTGGTTTTACTCCTTGTTTCCCTTTGGGTTTGGTCAGCATCAAAGAAGGAAAGGAAAGCAAAAAAATACACAGAAGTCCAAAAACAAGCTACTCAAGAACCATGTGAGATGGAGCACTGCTGATGTGTTCTGCTCTTTCCGTGAATGTTGTATTCTTCTTTAACCACCCTTAATATTCTACAGGTGCCAAGCTTATTACATTTCATGGTGATCTTCCATACCCTTCATGTGAGCTAATCGAAAAGATTGAATCACTAGATGAAGAACACATTGTAGGTGCTGGAGGATTCGGTACAGTCTATCGAATGGTTATGAATGATTGTGGCACATTTGCCGTTAAACGAATTGACCGAAATCGCCAAGGTTGTGATCAAGTCTTTGAGAGGGAGCTGGAGGTCTTGGGCAGTGTCAAACACATAAATTTGGTCAGCCTCAGAGGCTACTGCAGTCTTCCCAGTGAAAAGCTTCTGATCTATGATTTCTTGGCTATGGGAAGCTTGGATGACTTGCTGCATGGTATGTAACCCCTCCCTCTTTCTATTTCTGAAAGTGGGATTCTTGGTGGAGATGATAAGAATGAAAGACTCTAGCTTATCTCACAAATCAGTTTTAGTGTCTAACCGATTACGCTTATGTAGTATTTCAATGTTTGTGGGTCAAACCACACTAAAATATTAAATCTAATATACTCTGTATTAGCTATTTCAACCTAAGATTTATTAACTCATCATTTCTCTTGTCCAATGTGGGACTCTAACAGTAATCATACCATTTTGAATCTAACTAATCATGTTAACTTGTAGTTAGATTCCTACCTGAAACTGACTCCTGACTCTACACTACTCCTCAAGTTGACAATTGTGCCATTTTGAATCTAACCAATTGTTGACTTGTCATTTGAATTCCCCTGAAACTGACTACCCCTTAAACTTAATCATCTAGGTAATTGGGCTTCAGCAGACTCTACAGATAAATTTCAAGATTAAGTTGAGGTCATCCTATTGGGCTATAAGACACTTAGGCCAAGTCACACTAAAAGATTGAATCCAATCTATGAACTAGTTCAACTTAATGTCTTATCAACTCCTCGTTTCTCTTGCCGGACTAACAATATCTTTTTTCTTGCCGGACGAACAATATCTTTTTTTTTGCCGGACTAACGATATCTATTTATGTATTTATTGGTTTATTTGTAGGTCAACCTCCTCGAGATTTGGATGAAGAGCTGTCATTAAATTGGAGCACGCGTTTAAGAATAGCTCATGGTTCTGCAAGAGGATTGGCGTACCTGCACCATGATTGCAATCCTAGAATAGTTCACTGTGATATAAAATCAAGCAACATACTCCTTGATGAGAACCTAGAGCCTCAGGTTGTGGACTTTGGTCTAGCCAAGCTTTTAGTAGATGAGGATGAGCATGTCACAACTGTGGTTGCAGGAACCTTTGGTTACTTGGCTCCAGGTGTGTTACGTACATTTTGCTAATTTTGACCAAGAAAAACTTGATTCAAGATTCACAGACTATATTGGTGCTAGGGTAACAACCAACAATGTTTTTTCGGTAAGCAGAGTACTTGCAGAGTGGAAGAGCCACTGAAAAATCTGATGTCTACAGCTTTGGTGTTCTCCTATTAGAGCTTGTTACAGGAAAGCGACCTACGGATCCTGCGTTTGTAAAGCGAGGCCTGAATGTTGTTGGCTGGGTATTTTCCATACATCATCACATCACATCTTTTGCATGTATAGCAAATAAGCCATGCTGAGCTCAAATCTGTGTAAGCCTGAGCTCAAAATAGCTGTAGTGGCTCAACTTCGTGCTTGAACAAGCTTAATTATGTTTCAAGCTCGGTCATAAATTTTACATGGCTCAAGTTCGGTAAGAATCATTAGTAATATATATATATATATATATATATATATATAGATTAAAGATCAAATGAGAACAATGCTTAACGTGAGAACATGAGAACACCACATTTACCCCGATGTGATGCACAATGAGGCTAGCCTAATGCACTTTTTCACGTTCAGCATAATATTTAGATTATTTACCAAAATGCCACCGTTATTATTTATATTGGCTTGATTGGAGCAAAGTCAAAATGTGCATCAGACGGACTCTATTGTGTTATCACATTGGGTTAAATGTGAGTGTTCTCACGTTCTCACATTAAGCATCGTTCTTATTGGAACCACACCACACACACACACACACACACATATATATATATATATATATATATATATAGAGAGAGAGAGAGAGAGAGAACTTATCCTGTCCGAACGTTCGGACAGGAGGCACCGTCCGAACATCGACGTTCGGGGCGGTTCCTGGTAGAATTTTTTGAAGAAATTTTTATGGTATGTTCTTCATCAAGTCTGGTTTATCCATACCAAATTTCAGCTCAAAATTCGATCGGGGAGGCCTTCAAATGATCTTTTGAAGTTGACTGAGCCAAATTATACATAGAAAAACACAGTTAACTTCAAAAAATCATTTGAAGGCCTTCCTGATCGAATTGTGAGCTGAAATTTGGTATGGATAAACTAGACTTGATGAAGAACATACCATAAAAATTTCATCAAAAAATTCCACCGGTAACCGCCTGAACGGTGGTGTTCAGTCGGCGCCTCAGGTCCGAACGTTCGGACCTGAACATTCTTGTGTGTGTATATATATATATATAGACACACACATTTTATATAAATATTATAATTTATACATATTTTTCTAAATAATACTATCGTATATAATATGAAATGGTTTGTGAGTCATCTCAGTCACAGGTGAAGTGGATTTATGGTATAAATCAGCTGGATCGTTTAACCAGGCGACTCGAGTTTGAAGTTGAACGAACCCAAGTCACCTATGGCCAAGTGGTTTAGACCTAGGCGCCACCACCCAGCATTTTTAGAGCACTGATTGTTATAGCCACTGACACAATGAACATTATGCAGATGAATACCTTACAAAAGGAGAACCGGCTTGAAGATGTGATAGACAGGAGATGCGCGGATGCAGACATAGAGACAGTAGAAGCTGTCATAGAAATTGCAGCAAGATGCACCGATGCAAATCCAGAAGAAAGGCCTTCCATGCAACTGGTGTTGGAGTTTTTGGAGCAAGAGGTGGTGTCCCCTTGCCAGACCGATTCATACGAGTCCCATTCAGATTATTCTTGATGTGCCCCACACATTGCTATGAACATTTTATGCTTCTCAGTTGCTGCTTGCTAGGTGATCTCAGCTTTGTATCAATTTCTTGCTGATGGAGTAGATATTTATTAATTATATTTTAATTTATTTTAATCCTAAACTGAATTGTTTTTTTTTTCTTACGATGATTTCAGTTTGTTCAGGTGCTTATGTGATTTCCATAGCGTAGCAATTGCATTGAAAATCTGATCTTTTCACTTTCATGAAAGTAAGAAAACACAGCAAGACAAACACTTCTAAATTCTAATCGGGACCAGTCTAGAATTTTTATACAAATTACTCCGGTCTGGGCCCAACGGCTATTGTTTTTTTTTTAAATTAATTCAATGGGTGGGTAATGACCTGATCCTGGTACTGTTTGGGCCCGGATCGGAACCGGTACCGGAGCATACCAAGCTGGTACTGGGCTCCGCTTTCCAGAACCGGTACAGCCCGGGCCTGGCCCGGGTCCATCCCTAGGGGTGGACTAGGATGGGTCCGGGCCGGGCTTTGGGTTGAGACTAGGCGGCTTCGGGTTTAAAAATTTCAGGCCCGGTACCGGCCTGGGTATGTACTGGAACCGGGTCGCCGGGTCGGGTTGGGCTACCCAATCTAGCTTCGGTCCGGGACCTGGTCGGGTTGGGCTAATTTTTATTTTTATTTTACTTTTTTTGAATTGATTCACAAGTGCTACAAAAAATTAAATGTACATTTATTGAAACATGAAGTACAAATTGATAATTGAAAATAATTCAAACATTAAATACATTTGGTAAAAATCAATCAGAATCTCCACTAAAGTTGATTGTTTCCTTCATGAAGTAGTGGTCGGGGGTGATGCTAACATCTTGAATTCTACGTCGTGCATTCAATCAATCGTGAAAGTAATAAGCGACTCAAGAGATTGTGCGCTCAATCTTGATCGTGTGCTATATTTATTAATAACATATACGTAGTAAATATTATTTACTCCCTCCGTTCCTATTAAAACATCCAACTTTCCTTTTTCGTCCGTTCCAATTAAAACTTCCACTTTCCCTTTTTAGTAAAGAATTTGTGGTTCACAACATTTCTTACACATTTCTCTCCTCTGCACAACTCTCCATCACACAATACTCATTATCTTAAATTGTATGCCAAACCAATTTGGAAGATAAAATTGGAGCGGAGGGGGTACATTTTATTTGTACTCACAATTCAATACTCCCTCCGTACCAATTTGTATGATACTTTACGGTTTACGATGTTTGACCGACGATAAAGCAAATTGATTCCTGTCAACACTCAAATTAATTTTAGAAAATAAAGTTTACATATTCAGAAACTACATTAAAACCGCTACAAAACCTGCAAAAAATAATTCAAACTTCATAAACTTTTGATATATAAAGTAAAAGATTAAGAGTGATTTATGTTGACCAAGTGAATAGTAAATGTATCTTACAATTTGGGATTGAGGGAGTATTTTATAGACTTGTATACTAGTCACATTTTAATATAAGTCACATTTTAGTTAAATTATCATATTACTTACATTTTAATATTAAAGTCACTTTAATTTTAAAGTCACATTTTAATTGTACTCACATTTAAGTATTTGTATTAGTTGCATCGTAATTGTACTCATATTTAAATATTTGTTAGAATTTAAACATTAATGTAAACCCTTTTTTTTTTGAAATCTTGACTGTTAGGCCTGAACCGGTCCACTAAATTCCAATCCCGTAGCCTGTCTGCTTCTTCTTCCGGGTCAGGTCCCAGACATGGTACCATTCCCGGTCCATCCCGTCAGGCCGGGCCTACACAGTAGCATCCGGGTCGGGTCGGCCCATCCCACTCCACCTCTATCCATCCCTAACATTAACGACCAACTTATGGACAAATATTTTTGGATTATTCAAATTAACAAATAAATTTGAGAATCCAAAAATATTTGTCCATAAGTTGGTTGTTGATGTTAGGGATGGATAGAGGTGGACTGAGAAAATGGAAACTAATAATCCAACCTTTTAGCGGTCTTCTTACAGTAGTCCCACCTTTTGATTATTCATGAATAATCCAACCTTTGCACCACATCTTCATTCACTGGTCCCTGACCGATTTATGACATGTTATTCTAAGTTATTTTTTTATCTTTGTAAAACATTATACCATAATTCCCACCTTATGATCACATAATGTTTTGCAACGATAAGAAAATAACTTGGAATAACAGGTCATAAATCGGCCAGAGACCATTAAATGAAGATGGGGTTCAAAGGTTGGATTATTCATGAATAATCAAAAGGTGGGACTATTGTAAGAAGACTACTAAAAGGTTGGATTATTAGTTTCCATTTTCCCTAATTTATTTTCAAACATTGAGATTACTTTTTTTATCATTTTGAATAAGAAATGTCATACTGTTAGTTTTTTATTCGAACATTTATTTGAAAACAATGCCACACATAACATTTATCAGTGGCATTATTATTTGAATATACAATATTTACATGCTCTTTTATTAGCTTGACAAATAATGCCATTTTTATGGCACTAATATTCATATCTAGGGGTGGACCGGTTCCGGTTTGGACCCAGTTCGGGCATGGGCCAGTGGGTCCGGCCGGGCCTCGGTTCATGAAAGGGGAGGCCCAGAACCGGCCTGGTAACCCCGGGTCTGGTCCAGGCCGGGTAACCCCGGGCCGGGCCGGCCCTCGCTTCTTGTATTTTTTTTTTGGCTTTTCCTAATTAACCCCCAACCCTCCCCCCTCACCCCCAAACCACCCCAAACCACCTCAAATGGCCCATCATACCCAACCCAACCCAAAAACTTAAAAAAAAAAATCAAAAAATAAAGAAAAAATAAATAAATTGGCCCGAATCAGGCCCGAACCGGCCGGGCCGATTCACAATTTAGGAGGCCCGGGCCCGAACCGCCAACCTCACCAAGCCGGGTGGCCCGAACCAGGCACCAACCGGTTCACCGGGCCGGTCCGGGCCCGCACAGTAGTAGGCCGCTCCGGTTCCGGACTTCCGGGCCAGTTGCCCCGGCCTTGATATGATTCATATCAAGGTGGAAATAATCTAATTTGTTCACATTTCTTTTTCTCATATTTTATTTTATTTTTTAATTTGAAATACAATATTTACTTCGATACTAAATAGACTAAAATAATACTCCATACTACCTGTTAACCTACACAGGAACAAAAGTACTCTCGACGTCCTATAAAATTCTTTTCAATTTGACTTCGATCAAAGTTTAAGAAAATAGAAATAAAGTGAAAATATATGATTATGGTTGGATAAGGAGAATATAAATGAATGTTACCAACACAAAACTTTCCAAAGGGGAATGAGAAAATTTTGTGGAACATCCCGAAAGGTATGTGAGAAGAATTTTAAGCGACACAGGAATATCTGATAATTTGAGAGAGATCAAAGTATATTTATTTTGTGATAAAAAATAACTCACAAAAATGATCCATGTATACTCTCTACGACTCTACTAGACTACTAGTACAACAAAAATGTATATGAATTAGTCTAAGAGCAGAGGTAGGAAAGCAATTGAGAGAGTACTTAGATTGAACATCCAAAATCATGACAAAGGGATAACTAGAGTGCACACAGTGGAGCACTAGAGCATTCAAGTCATAATAACATCACACAACACAAATTGCAGGAGAGAATTGCTGGATAGTAGTAGACAATGGTGTGATGAAACAGGCAAGCCAGCGTGCATGCTCTGCTCTACATGAGCAAGGTCTTGACTATGGACTTCACGTTGAGCTTCTTCAGATCTGTATACGACTGCCCACAACCCACAAACATGACAGGCGCTCCAGATACGTAGACCATGGATAAAGCTGCTCCCACCTGCAACCCTCGCAACAACATCACATTTAAGGTCAGCTATTTAGAATAAAATATATAATGAAAATGTGTCATACCAACCACAACCATAAAAGCTTGCACACATTCCATCAGAAAAGGGAAATGATGATTTTAAGCAGCATGATGTACCTTGTCATCAATGGTGTCAAACTTAGTCAGGAGAATTCCATCAATCAATCTTGGATTCGGCGAGGGTGATAAGTCACCCAATTTCTACAAATAAAACCAATCAAAAAGTGTATAGAAGAGTAAGACTACTGTGGGTTGGTCAACAAAGAACTCGCTCCCTCTTTTATTATCCTTTGTATTCGATTTTCTTCTCAAACTAAATATTCAAAAAAAAACTATTTGTAAAGCAAACAATGCCAGTGCATAAGCTATATGCATAAAATGAAGTGGAAGGCAGTGTGTATGCATGCGTGCAGTAATGTATATGAGTATATCATAAGGCGTATCTCAAGGAACCTGATTGAACTTTGTTAATTGGTCAACGGCATCATTCCCGACAAGGGCCTCGCCAACAAACAAGACTAAATCTGGGCTGTTGACGTAAATAAGCTTTGATAATGCTCTCATCAAAGGTTCATTATCCTGTTGGAAAACCCAATCACGACATCTAAGAGCCGGGTATAAGAAAGTGACCACAAAGCTCCATAGATTAAAAAAATATAGCATGTTCTACACTATGGAGTCTGGAGGGTCCTCCCATTTTTACATTTTTAAGATATTGAAGGTATAAGATCTGAATTTTAAAAATAAATACCTGCATTCGGCCAGCTGTATCAACAAGGACAACATCAGAACCATTGCGAGAAGCCTCATGGATTGCTTCCTTTGCAACAATTGCGGGATCTTTCTCATAGCCCTTCTCATATATTGGGATCTATAGATGACAAAGGTTAGGCACATCAAATCAATTTACAAGCTTTCCAAACATTCTAGGAGAAGAATAATCTTCAATAATAATACTCCGTCTATCCCATTTTGTTAGATACATTTTCCTTTTCGTGTTGTCCCAAAAAAATGAGGAGAATGACATTTGTGCAACTCAGGTTGAGTTGGATCATGGTGTGAAATAAGATTGCGGGCAAATCATAATCATGTCTGTGTAAAGAAACTCATCTCAAAAACTTGTAAATTGTTCATACAGAGAACAAAGACTATTTTATGTGAACCCACAGCTATGCACTTACGAAAGATGCTTGTGTCTGTTTGCACGGAACAATGTCTCTGATAGACAATAATTAGCTGTGGCACAACATTTCTTGCTTGTGACATTGCATTTTCTTCAAACAAACATGTTTTGTCGGTATGTTTGTGCGAAAGATTGTGATGTGTACATAGTGTACAAAAGT